CATCACTCACCTTCGGTTTGCCGACGATATTGTGGTCATGGCAGAATCGTTGGAAGATCTTGGCACAATGCTCGAAGACCTTAATCGAGTTTCCCAACAGGTAGGCCTGAGGATGAACATGGACAAAACGAAGCTTATGTCGAATGTCCATGTTACGCCCTACCCAGTTTCAGTTGGGAGCTCAATTCTCGAGATTGTCGACAAGTATGTCTACCTCGGACAAACGATTCAGCTAGGTAGGTCCAATTTCGAGAAGGAGGTCAATCGTCGAATCCAACTCGGCTGGGCAGCGTTCGGGAAACTACGCAACATCTTTTCGTCCAAATTACCTCAATGCCTGAAGACTAGAGTGTATAACCAATGTGTGTTACCAGTGATAACTTATGGCTCGGAAACGTGGCCTCTCACTATAGGCCTTATACAGAAGCTCAAAGTTGCACAGCGTGCTATGGAGAGGGCTATGCTTGGTGTTTCTTTGCGAGATCGAATCAGAAATGAGGAGATCCGTAAACGAACCAAAGTCGCTGACATAGCCCGACGTATTAGCAAGCTGAAGTGGCAATGGGCAGGGCACATAGTACGCAGAACTGACGGCCGATGGGGCAGAAAGGTTCTGGAATGGAGGCCCCGTACCGGAAAACGCAGCGTGGGACGTCCACCTACAAGGTGGACCGACGACATCGTAAAGGTAGCAGGGAAGCGCTGGACGCAGGCCGCTACCAATCGATCAACATGGAAAGCATTGGGGGAGGCCTATGTTCAGCAGTGGACGTCCTGTGGCTGAAATGATGATGATGATGATGATAGCACAGAATAAGTACTTAATAGTTATACTTTCTGGGACGTGTATAAGCGCTTTTAAAATGTATTTTTTAAAATTTGTAGATGTAGCATCGTTTTATTTTATTAAGATTCAGACATTTGGGCACAGAATAAATTGTAAAAGCACACTGAAAAAAATCCTTAAAACTCATTTTTGCCGAATTTCAGCACTGCTCAATAAAGTTCTTTTTCCTACATACAAACTTTATACCACACCCTGTATTTGCTTTTTCTATAAACTTCACCCTGTATAAAAAACAGAGAGAGTAAAAAACAAAAGCCTGCGTCTGTCGAGCACTTATTGGAACCGTGTCAGTGTCAATCACTCGAGATCCTCCGGAGACAATAATACACAAAGGAATATTTTATTTTATTTTGTTCGGAAAACATACAGAAAATAAAGAATATTGTTTTACTTCTAAAATCACTTTTGTCATCCTAAACAGTTATTTATTCCACTATCACTAGGCACTTTATTTTCTATTGAAGCGATAAAAAGCAGCCGTTGCGTTACCTACGGCATCTGTTTTCTTTTCGAATTTACGAGCGTAAAATAATGAACTAAATTATCACAATATCATTTTGAGTGGCTTTATTTGTGTCGTACTTAAAAAATTAAGGTCGTCGGTACATTGAGCAGGCAGGAGGGGTTAACCTACACTATGTGTGCTAATAAGACAAATGCCGATTTTTTTACCGTAATATTTGTGAAAAAGTAAGTACACTGTTTGTTATTAATACGTGATTCTTAATTCCGAACCCAAGACATGCAGGATACATGATATTTCCTTGTACGGTCATCTCGTACCTTTGTCATAATTAATTACTGGATGAAATCGACTCCCGTTCTTGTCTATTTAGTAAAAATATAGTAGGTCCTTTATAGTACATAATATCTTTCTTTATATCTAAAAACCGGCCAAGTGCGAGTCGGGCTCGCACACCGAGGGTTCCGCCGTACAAACGTAGCGGTTTACAATTTATGACGTATTAAATCAAATTACTTACTTGATTCCGTTGCGAGTAGTGGCGAATTTCAAAATATGCGGTATGATTATTTTTCCTATATTTGCATTATAGGTAGGTACCTACCTCAGCGTTTTGAATTTTTGCGTTGATTTAGAATTTCTCACAGTTTAGAGGCAATTATTGATATGAANCCTTTAATAAAGACTAATTATGGATTTCCGCAAAGAAACGCCTGATACTAATAGGATGGTTTTACCTGAAATATCAACTTTAATAATCAACTTTATGTAGAAATCTTTGTAATTTAACTTACGGATGATCTAGATTGCTAAACGGTAAAATAGTAGGTACCTAATTATGGGTAGAAGTCCATGAATGTAAAATATTTTAAGGCAAGCTACTTATTTTAGATTATTTCAAATATATTATGTTATAGTTTCTGGGATGTGTATAAGCGCTTTTAAAAGGTATTTTTTTAAATTTGTAGATGAAGCATCGTTTTATTTTATCAAGATTCAGACTTTGGGATTCAGACACTGAAAAAAAATCCTTAAAACTCATTTTTGCCGAATTTCAGCACTGCTCAATAAAGTTCTTTTTCCTACAATACAAACTTTATACCACACCCTGTATTTGCTTTTTCTATAAACTTCACCCTGTATAAAAAACAGAGATAGTGAAAAACAAAAGCCTGCGTCTTTCGAGCACTTATTGGAACCGTGTCAATGTCAATCACTCGAGGTCCTCCGGAGACAATAACACACAAAGGAATATTTTATTTTATATTGTTCGGAAAACATACAGAAAATAAAGAATATTGTTTTACTTGTAAAATCACTTTTTTCATCCTAAACAGCTATTTATTTTACTATCACTAGGCACTTTATTTTCTATTGAAGCGATAAAAAGCAGCCGTTGCGTTACCTTATCTGCTTTCTTTTCGTATTTACAAACATTATAATAATGAAGAATTGTCACAATATCATTTTAAGAACTCTACACACCAAGCCAAGCAAGTGGCTTTATTTGTGTCGTATTTAAAAAACTTAAGGTTTTTAGTACATCGAGCAGGGGTCAACCTACACTGTCGCCCGTATTCACAAACATTACTATGAGGTCTCACAGTGCGCGTGGACGCACAGGGTCACACACTTACCAATCACAGAGCTCTATTCAACGCTGTGCGTTCGATTTGCTGCTTCACTTATGCAAGCATCGTTTGTGAATTACGGGTGTAAGTTTGCTAACAAGATGCCCGTTCACTCCATTTATTGAGGGATTTTTGTACCGTAATATTTGTGATAGTGAATTAAGTACATTGTTTGTTATTAATACGTGATTCTTAATTCTGACTCCAAGACATTCAGGATACATGATATTTCCTTGTACGGTCATCTCGTACCTTTGTCATAATTAATTACTGGATGAAATCGATTCCTGTTCTTGTCTATTTAGTAAAAATGTAGTAAGACCTTTATTGTACATTTATTATTTTTCTTTATATCTAAAAAAGATAAGACACATTATGGATATATATCTCATCTTTACAGACAATCTACGACATTTTTCCAGCTTTTGTAGTTTGAGTGTACTCTAATAAGTCGTCACTAATGCTTACGGTACCAATGTAGATGTAGCAGGTACCTTATGTGTCATTTAATAATGCATTTTGGTGTTACTTGTTGGATATTAATGTTTATTATATTTACGAATGAAATCGCAAGAGAACAAATTGGTTATGACTTATAAATATGTAACGAATCCTATTGGGAGGGAAGAGGGTCGGCACAGGTGTCGTTATTCCTAATAATATGAATATCAAAGCCCATCTGTGATACTTGTGAATTATTAAATACAATCAACCAATGTTGAAAATGATTTATATTGAAAACTTTGAACATAATATTGTAGACGAAATTAATTTGATAAACGCGATAGGTACGATATTCGTGTAAAAACAAACTTATTCGGTGTAATTTTTGTTGGTTGATTTATTCAGAAATGTTACCTTTTTAAATCTCTGACTGATAAAAACTGATATTGATGTTGAATTGCATAGAAAATCGCTGTCGTGGTATATAAAAGACATCACTACACATAGGCTTCTAATAACGTCCATTATCTGGTGGTTGGACTATGGTCCGACTATAACTATTTCTATAGAAAGACCCTTCTTATTTGCAGACGACCTCTATTTAAGTTTCGTACGACGTTTATTTTGTAAGTTACGTGATTCGTTTCTTTCTCTCTTTCAAAATAAGTATTCTAAATAAAACCGGCGAATAAACCACGGAAAAAATCTGGACACCGCGGTACAGCTTTTCGCACCTCAAAGAACAGTGCCATCTATTGGCAACTAACACAAACAAGTTTCATGGAAGATTTATACAACCGGTCCACTCGTAATATTCGCGAAACAAGTATCGATTGCCATTACAGAAAACACAGACCCTGAGTCGTAACTGAGTTATGGTTCAGGGTAAACAATTTTCTCAACGGAAAAAGGCATCCCTTATGAGGGTCATAGAGATAAGAGCTGTCATAAAAATATTAACCGCATAAAACGTGTATTACGATAAAATTGAGAGCGCGAAGACGACGGGCCATCGAGGAAAAATATAACTGATATAACACCAACAAAGGCTCCAGGTAGACATACTGTAATGATTTATTAAGAACAGGAAAATAATATGTTCCGAGATAACAGGTGAGTTCTTTCGGATGAAATACGGGATGGTATTGCCTTGAACTATTGTTTGTATTGGTATCATTACAGTCGGTTCCTTTGCCACTCCGTTTGCGAGTGAAAACATCGTTTTCAGTTCTTATCTTTTCGTTAGAGCTTTTCTATAGGAACGCCTACAGGCTGTAAGGACCTTACTTGAAGAATAGAGTGTCTGTGGAATATAATTTTGGATGTAAATTACTCGCATTAGAAATACACACTACAGCGCATTCTGTCAGAATATTACGAATTTCCTCATCGACCCTTAATAAAATAACCTTCTAGTTAGGGAAATTCATCATAATATTGTTCTGCTGACGATTTGTTTACACGGAGTCATACTTATTTTCTGGACAGTGAATTTGGTGCAAGCCTATCTATACATGGGACAAATAGATGCACAGTTATCTTGGTATTCGTTCCCAACCTTCAAACTCCCTTACCACTTCTAAAGGAATAAAAACTGTAAAAAATAACCTCTCACCTGCAGCTCCGGGAAGCTCTGCCGTACAATCAGGGTCCACAGGTTATACAGAACGAAGATGGTGATCAGCCACAGCCAATAAAAGTAGAAATTCTCGTCAGGATTGACGACTGTCCTTGGGGCTCTGACTTTTCTTCTCCTCGTCCGGTTCGTAGTTCTGTGTTCTCCCGTCGCTCCTTCTGACCCTGTGTCCTCTACCTGCAAAATGAAGAATGGTTACTGCTTCTGTTTTACTATGAAAGTGTTCCTTTGTTCTGTTCGTGGGAACACACAGATGGTATGGTGAAAGGGTCTTAACTACTGTTACATAGCATTCCGCCTGTCTCTTAAGGGCTTTTAGTGTTTCGTAGATTAACAAGAATTTGCATTTTATTAACATAATGCGTAGATGATTTGAATTTTTCTAATATTTCAAGTAATTTTTAGAAGTTGAAGTGGAATATTTTATTTACATTTCAAAATCAGTTTTATGGTAATTTGAAGTACCTACTTAAATAGCTCATCAGACTTATTTCTGAGAGTTGCTGAGGGTGAATGTGATATACTTGTACCTTGATATACACCATGCAAAAAAACTAATTAGCTACTAGGAAAATGATCACAACGGTAACCAAACAGTTTGTATTCTCACAGTTTCCTGCGTGGCCGGCGTCTGCCTAGTCGAAAACCTCTTCAAGAACGAATCTTCCCTTTTCAACGGCGGCTTCTTTTGTATCGCGGAGCTCAGCTGCACGGTGGTTCGAAGCTTCATCCATCTTTGGTTCGATTTTGTTCTGGACATTTACAGATACTGGTAAAGATACACACTTTAAAATAACTATAGCGTTGAAGGGATAAGCAAAGGAGCCATGCTTCCAGAAAGTTAAGTCAAAGGTAGATAGTCTTAAAAAAGTGTTTCTCAAATTTAATAAAAAATATTTACTATTTTATTCAAAGCTAGATAATTTACTGGGAAATATATTTCAAGATATTTTTAGATTTAGAACTTTATAAAAACTATTTTTAAGAAAGAAAAGGCAAAGTAATTCAAGTCTCACAGATGCTTCTATTTAATTTAGTGCTTTTCACACATTTGATCGTGAACTTAAATGTTTTAATAACGTGCAAACAAATAATCTACCTTTATCTACATGCGGCATGGCAGTTTATTCTAAAACTAAAAATTCAATTCCATAATATAAAAAGTATGTTTGTATAGTGAGATATCAGTGAGTCGAATCTAACGCATCTAAAACTAATTCTAATAATCTAAGAGTTAGGAGTTCAAATCTAAATAGTCAAATCTATCAGTAATATTAGAAACGTTCATACAAATGCAAGGAACGAATAACATTGAACACGTGATCTCCCAAGTGATAGTAGGAAAGTAGAATGTCGTCAAGGTGAGCTAGTAAAGACACAATATTCACAAGAAAACACACAAAATCCAGTGAGTAAAGTACCATTCCCGAAGACCTATACACAGACGAAGGTAGCACATAAGTGGGAAATCATAAACAAATAATGAATAAAACAATTGACAACGATAGGCAGTTTACCGTTGTCCGCGTCATGTGTCGAACCTTTTAATTTTCCTGAGTGCCTGGTAGTATGCCATGACTGCCTGGACGTGTCTCCACTTACGGCCTGGTTTGTCTGAGTCAGAGCCGGGCCTCTCAGTGTCCTGGACGGACCTGCGAGAGCTTGACGAGCTCGATGCAATGATCGGTCGCCTACAAAGGATGCGAGTGTTACATGGAGACGGTGTGTGTTGGTGGAAGCCCCGGCATCGTGAGTTTCATTGCTCGCTTGATCATGTCTTGTTCAAACTAGTTATTAGTTATTAACTTTACTACCGAAGAGAATCAAGAAATAGAAGATAGTGACGCTAATTCAGATCCAAACGATCTAACGACTGTTACTATTGAGTATGGCAAAGATGTTGATGATAAAAATGCAACAGTTTTGTTTGTGAATGATGGCACAGATGATCATAGCGAACAAATGCAAACTCCCGGCCTCGTGAAACATACTCGAGACTCCACAAAGAATAACATGCAATAAAAAATTAATCATTATTTCACTAGTGTCGTTCACGGACAATATAACAGAATTAAGTGTTTCTCTTAGCATTACTGTGACTCTATGGTCTTCAGGCTGTGCAGGGACGTGATCTAATTGCAGTAACTATAGATTATGCACAAATTTCTCGTATGAGGCATTGGGTTACAGATTACGCATTGCTGATTTGTGGTCAAGTAGCGTACAGAATGATATATTATTTGCTTTCAATCCTCGTATTCATTGCTAAAATGCCGGCATTCTACTTTTTGATTCATGGATTTATAAACTACATTTTATTTTATTAATTTGAGTGGAGACTTGACTCCGTAAAAAAATTTCCATAATCCTCCAAAACATAGCTACTTAACATCTTCAATTTGGAGAGTAATATTCTCATCTTCAATTTGGAATTCTATTTCAATATGGTAATCTTGGAATTGAATGGAATCAATCTTGGTTCACACATGAAAAATCGACTGCTTAGGTGAAACTTAAATCCAAGATCTTTTAGTATCTTTTCAATAATTTATCGCAATTGAATTTCAACGCAGCGATTAATAAGTATCTCATTAACTCAGTGATAAGACCTGTCACTTAAAAAGTGGAAGATGGTTTACAGTTTCCTCAAAGTTATTGAATATTTGACCAGAAAATGATATAGGTAGATAGATATGGAGTGGATATCGTAATAGCAACTAACCATTCTGTACGTCACTTGTCACGCGTGTCTACGTATACGTAATCGCACAGGCGGGTCGTGCGGGCTAAGCATCCTCGAGCCATGGCTACTGCCATCTTTGGTCATAAGAGTTACTGATTACGCATTGCGGATTTGTGGTCAAGTAGCGTACAGAATGACATTTGCTTTCACTCCCTCATATTCATTGCTGAAATGCTGATTTTTATACTACATTATATTTTATTATGTGGAGACTTGACTCCGTAAAAAAAATTCCATAACACTCCAAAACATAGCTACTTAACATCTTCAATTTGGAGAGTTATCACCTTACTGGAATTCTATTTCAATATGGTAATCTTAGAATTGAGTGGAATCAATCTTGGTTCACGCATGAAAAATCGACTGCTTAGGTAAAACTTAAATGCACGATCTTTTAGCATCTTTTCAATAATTAATCGCAATTGAATTTCAACGCAGCGATTAATAAGTATCTCATTAACTCAGTGATAAGACCTGTCACTTAAAAAGTGGAAGTTGGTTTACCGTTTCCACAAAATGATTGAATTTTTGACTAGAAAATCATGCTAGTCGTGGTAGTGGATATCGTAATAGCAATTAACCATTCTGTACGTCACTTGTCACGCGTGTCTACGTATACGTAATCGCACAGGCGGGTCGTGCGGGCTAAGCATCCTCGAGCCATGGCTACTGCCATCTTCGGTCATAAGCGTGTCTACGCTCAAACTTACACGTCCTCCGGCCGCTCATTCGCGGTGAATGGAGACAGCTTGCTCAACAATCTAGACAATTTGGGAAAATACAGTTCAGTTCTCTGGTATTTATAAGGATGCGCCAGTATTTGTCCTTTTTAGGCGTTTGGGGGCACTATAAATTTATTATACAGGCAATTAGGTATTCATAAATCTGTGGTGATATAAAATATGTTCTGAAGTCAGTATTTATGTATGAGGATGCGCCTTTTGTTAGTGCTTTTGTGGCGTTTCAAGCAGCATTATCAACAATCTAGACAATTTGGGAAAATTCAGTTCAGTTCGCTGGTATTTACAAGGATGCGCCAGTGTTTGTCCTTTTTAGGCGTTTATGGGGACACTATAAGATCATTGTACAGGCAATAATAAAAATTGAAAAATAATTAATTTGTGGTAATTTTAAAGTCGTATAAGGTAACCCTAGGGGACACATTAAGTTATTATCCAGATAATTAAGTACCTAGTCATTCATCTATGGCAATTATTATGAAGCAGTATATTCCTAAGTCATTAGTTGAAATAACGTGCCTTTAGTTAGTGCTTTTGTTTCGTTTACTTTAAGGTAACTCTATTAACAATCTAGACAATTTGGGACACTATAAGATAATTATACAGGCAATTAATCAATCTCTGGTAATATGAAGTATGTTCTGAAGTCAGTATATGAAATGATGCGCTTTTTTTTGCTAGTGCTTTTGTGGCGTTTAAGGAAGCACTATCAACAATCTAGACAATTTGGGAAAATACAGTTCAGTTCGCTGGTATTTACAAGGATGAGCCAGTGTTTGTCCTTTTAAAGGCGTATAAGGTAACTCTAGGGGACATTATTAAGTTATTATACAGATTTAATAGAATTAAGTACCTAGTCATTCATCTAAGGCAATTAATTATGAAGTAGTATATTCTTAAGTCATTAGTTGAAATAACGCGCCTTTAGTTAGTGCTTTTGTTTGGTGTATAAGGTAGACCAGTGTTTCAACAATCTAGACCAGTGGCTTCCAAAGTTTTCTGGGCTACGAGTACGACTCATCTAATACAAGTTCCCAAACTCGGGACCCACCTACAGGAAATTTCGCCCGCTGCCCAGCGGTTGTATCGGTAGGGTGGTGTGTCGTTCTATAGGCAGGGCCCACTCAATGTTCGCTCGCGACCCATAGTTTGGGAAACCCTGATCTAGACAATTTGGAAAGTTCGCTGGTACAAATACAAGGATGCGCCAGTGTTTGTCCTACTGAGGCTAGGGGATACTATACGGTTTATATTAAACAGGCAATAGTATTCAAGTAGACGAAGAATTAATTTAAAAGGAAGTATTTTCCCTCGCTTATTGGATCAGCTAAGGTAATATCAATGGTATTTTTCAATATAAAGATTTATGATAGAATTTTCCTCAGATTTATAACGAACATTATGATTTAAAATTACGTACGACTGCGGGTTCATGTTGTATGTACATAAGAGTATTATGCTGTTATTGGTTATTAGTAACCAATAACCAAAAGCGCTAAAATATGACATTAAATAATGTAAAATAATATTTATCTCATTGTAAGTGAACTATGTATAATGTTCTTATGAGAATAACGTCTTTAAACCTATTGGTTATTGTCGGAAATAGTTATTGCGGCTTCTGATAAAAGCTCTTCAAACATGAACATGACCGAGGAAACTCTGTGCAGATTCTGCCATACAGAAGAACAAACGGCCATGCATGTTCTTTGCTCATGCGGCCCGCTTATGAGCAAAAGAAGTATCCATCTCGGGCGACACATCATGCACCCGGATGAGATAGCAGATTAAATTTCCAGATTCTTTGGAGCGTGATAATATCACGCTGAATAGAATCTGGAAATTTATAGACTCAACGGGACTAAGCAGTGAACTCTAAAGACAAGGGCTGCCACAATAGATCAAACCTGGTCGAGCTGGCGCAAATAAAGGCCCAAAAACCAATAATAATAATACTGATAAAATGTTTGGTGCGATTCCGACTAAATTAATTGAGTTATTTAATAAACAGATTCCACTGTCGAAGAGTAGCTAGGTAATATAAGATTTTAATAGCTATTTAATTAACTAAGTAAATTTAATTAAGCTTTATTAATTCCGATGGTTTTGATATTTTACAAGTATCAGTAGATCCTACGCATGTTTACAATTATACTAAACTTAGTATTTATATTTTGCAATAGCAATAGACACCAGTCGGTCGCCACCGGAAAATTCTATGTATAAAAAACATTTCTCGCGTTTTTACGGCGATCGCATAAAACAAACA